CTGCCCTCTAGTGCTCACTGCATGAAGTTCTCATCTGAAGTCCACGTTTATCTCTAAAAACCCTGTTGACACCTGCAAGAGACCAAACTTCTTGTTTCGCACATAAGCAAACTGAAGTCCAGAGAGGAGGTGTAAAACCGACCCACGCAGTCTTCTGGACTTTTAGTTACCCCTCCTGGGACTTGTCTGGCAAACTCTCTTTCTCATAAGCACTTCTCAGAAATTTCAATAACTAACTGATAAAAATTATAGCATATTGGGCCGGCCCGGTGGTGCACTGGACAGTGCGCCACTTGGGAAGCGCGGCAGTGCTCCCGCCCGAGGGTTCAGATCCCACATACGGACCGGTTCTCGCTCACTGGCTGAGCGAGGCGCGGGAGCAACACCGAGGTTTGCAATCCCGTTGCCGGTCCCCGGTCCGGTACGGGGGCAACACTGAGGGTTGCGATCCATTGCTGGACACGGAAAAAAGACAAAAGACAAAAAAAAAAAAAAAATACAATCTCATGCTAAGATCAGCAAGTCAGCAGAAACTCACTGCATTTGGGCTTCTAATTACTAAATGAATTAAGAGACATCTAGTTGCTTCCTTAGATGTCGACATAGATCCCATTGATCAAATAATCAAGCCTCGAATAACGTTTCCTGTGCAGAGATTCTGAGAGCATCCTACCCAAGAGGACAAGGCCCACCACCAAGAACAGGACACCAAAGAGCAGGGTCCCAGTGAGAAGCCACTTTTCAAATGGAAGTCCATGCTGGGTTTCTGGAACGCTATTCAGGGAGGCGCTGCCTGCACTACCCTTCCCATTTTCCCAGGAAGCAGTTTTATTCATAGTGGAAGACGCCACATTTGACAAAGAAAGTGTAGCACGGTTATGCACATCCGTGTTCAAAGTCAGGTTAGAGACTTCTCTAAAGGGCTCCATTGCTGGGGTGCCTTTCAAGTCTGTAGGTGGCTGAAAGATGGTAGTTGGAACTGTTGTTGTAGTCACCTCTTGGGATGTAATCATAGCACGTGCAAAAATTGTAGAAACGAGGGCTGTGGGAGGCTGAGAAGGGCTGGTGGTTACAGGTGGAGCTGCAGTGGCCGGATGTGGTGGAGAAGTCCCAGAAGGTCTCACTGAAGCACTGGCAGGTAGAAGACCTGCAGGCTTTGGAGCAGCAGAGACAGTACGTAAAGAAGCAACAGCCACTGCAGTTGGGAATGTGACATTTTCAGGCAGCAGATGAGCTGCTTCTTGTTCGGAGGAAAACTGTGAACTCTGAGAGTGGCCTTTTTCTTTATAAACAGGGAACTGGGTACTTGCATGGTCAATCTTGAATAGTTTCTCCAAATGATCTGAGGATCCAGACTTCTGAGAAAATGTACCTCTCCATGAGACATCAGTGGGCTTGGAATAACCCGCTGGAAGAGGGGCTGAGAAAGTGACTGCCTGGGAAGACTGGCCATGTAAGAGGGCATCTTCTTGGGCTGACCCTTGGCTTGGCAAATCAGTTCTGGTCAAAGACGGAAAATCTGAAAACATAAGAAAATAAAAGGAAGATTTAAATATTTCCATGTCCAGGTAGTTTAAAAAATACAAACATATCTGCTTGTTCAGTAGATTCCCGAACTGTTGATACTTGATATTCCATTGAAATGTGTGCAAAATGGAAAAATACAAATTGCTGAATCAGAATCTGCTGACACTGCTTCTCCACCAGATGCTGTGGTCTATTTCTAGAGTGATGGGACAGAAGAGAAATGCCTGGAGGAGAATCAGGCAAATTAAGGAAGGGGGAGCAGCAAAGCAGGGAAGGAGGAGCTAGCACAGGAGAAGCAGGTTCAGGAAAATGGGGATGGCCAGGGGCTGGGTGACATGGCAGGAGGAGGACCAGCAGGGGCCACGCTGGTGTGAGGCTTGAGCTGCTGCAGATATGCCAGCTGGGAAGCAAGTAATCACCAGGAGAGCTTCCATAGTGGGGCGTGGGGCAGCCAGGAAAGTGGAAGCCTTGGGAAAATGAGGCCATGGAGTCAGGAGGGGGCAGAATCTCTGTGATGTCCCTTTGACAGGGTTGAGGCTTTGACCAGCAGCAGGAGGAGGAGGAGATTGGAGTTCTGGTGTCCCCTGAGGGCATTGAGACCAAGGTGGCAGCAGAAGGTTGATGGTGCTTTCCAACCAAAACACAGGGACATATGGTTCCAGCACTGCACTCACAGGAGTGAGGCTATCTGGGAGATTTCACTTTGACTCTCAAAGATGAGAACTTTAGAGCCAGTGTCTTAGGTTATGAGGATGATAGGACCTCTAGTTGAAATCATGACAGCCACATTGCAGAGCAGAAAGCCACGCGGTCTCGATTCCTACTGAGGAGAAACTAGCCACAGATCCTGCTCGTAATTGAGAAAGCTTAGCGTTTTGTTCTTGGTGACACACACCGTCTATCACAACTCAAACTGGAAAGACTTGTTAAAGCAATCAGGTGCAGGGAATGATCATTTGGATTGCTCTGTGGGACTCTGCTCCTTGGCTAACCGATTAGCTTAGATCAGAACTGTAGAAAATACAGGAAAGAAGCAGAGACATTTCCCTGCATCAACTGGCTCTCTCTCTCCTGCTCTGTCTGCCCTTCCTTCCTCAACTACCCTCCATGCCAGTTTCTAACCTAGACCTCACTCTCCTCTCTCCTAACAGATCCAGAGGCCACTCAAATTTGTAATATCTTGTGACTACTCTCTAAGCCTCACACTACCTCTAAGATGCCCTTCAGAAGAGCCACTTATTAACCCATCTAGGACAGGGATCAGCAAACAATGGCCCCATGGACAAATCTGGCCTGCCAGCTGTCCTTGGATGGTGTGCAGATTGGAAATGGTTTCTACATTTTTATGTTTAAAAAATACCTGAAGATGAAGAATATTTTGTGACACATGAAAAGTGTGTGAAATTCAAATTTCAGTGTCTGTAAATAAATCTTTATCAGCACACAACCATGTTCATTTGTTTACGTTGTCTGTGGCTGCTTTCTCACTATAAGGAGAGACATGAGTAGGTATGACAAATTGTGTGTGGCCCACAAAGACTAAAATGCTGGCCTGAAAAGCCTAAAGTACTATTTGGCCCTTGACAGAAAAAGCTGGCGGACACCTGCCCTAGGATTGTAGTACTCTAATCAAAATAGAATTTGTATGCACAAAGTTCCTTTTTCCTCCAACGATGCTGAAGAACAGAGTTTTGGCTACAGGTGACATCACATTCTTAGCATCATATGACATAAACAGCATCTACAGTTTTAGGTAGGATCACATATTTATGGGCTGGCCAGTTAGCTCAGTTGGTTAGAGGGCAGTGTTATAACACCAAGGTCTGAGGGCTTGGATCCCCATACCAGCCAGCCACCAAAAAAAAAAAAAAGAAGTCAGATATGTTAAAAAAGAAGACTCAACATATTCCATTTTAAAATTAGAAGAAAAAAAAAAGAAAAGACTATTTAACTAACTGCTTTGTATGTGAAATCAGAACCTAAATAAGGCTATTGACAAGAATGACCAAACAGCTGTTTTCTTTCTCAGGCATGCAAGCTCATAAATAGAGCAAAGCTGGGGCTAGTCCCATTTCTTGATAAGATTCATCTATTGGCAAACATTCTAGAACTAACTACACAGGGATCCTCTACACCTGCTCGTTTATCTCGCTCACTGACGTTTACCATTGAGGTGTGGTGCTTGCTGTCACTCATGCAGAGATGAGCCACCGTGGGAGCTGGGAAACAGCCCTGTGCCCTCCACTCCTTTTTTGAGTTTCATTTTCAAGCAACATCACTGAGTCAGAAAATGGGGACTGACTATTACTTGGAAACCAGCTGAGCAAACAGACTCTCAATTTATTCTATTTCTGAATTCTCCTATTCTTTCAGTCCTTAGTAGAAAAGACATACCATAAAGCTGCAAGAAAAAAAGATTAAGCGATGCCAAGCTGCAATGGTTTTATAGAATGAACACAGTCCACTGTCATCTTGCAAACTTTCAGTCTGTATACATTAGTCAATTGGTTACAGGAAAAAGAGTTCCTCTGGAAACAAAGCACCCAGCAGACACCTATAATTAATTTCTCTCTGAACAGGATGCAGATAAATCATTTTTAAGGTAATCTCAATCCATCAGTGTGTAATTCATAAACAGAATTACAAATACACGTTGTACACACCCAGTAGATATAAACAGTCTTCTGCCTACTATGTCCAGGGTTGGTGCCACTTTACCCAGATGTCTATCAACCTGCTCTGTGCTGATGACGCCCCCTGGTGGCTTCCACAAGAACTGTTGGATTCTAACTCCGTGACTTCACACATATCCTTAAAAGGTTTATGCACATGCCAACCAAGTTCTCTTTCCTTGCGTTTCCTCTTTTATGCATGCATTATAAAAGCGATAACACTACAGAAGTATTAGGAAAATTAGAAAACAAATTTGCCTATAATTTCTATCATCATATCCCAGCAACAGATTATTTATACAAATAATCTGTGCTTCATGCTCCTATGTAAGGGAACGTTCGATACATCAGATTTCCCTGGCTCATGAACAAAACTCAAACACAGTCTCACCCAGGGAACACAGCAGAGTCAGCACCCTGGCAGTATCTTTCCCCAAAGTACCTCAAACTTAACACATCCAAGACACAACCCTTGATTCCTCTCCATCTCCCAACCCTAAAACTGCATCCCCCAAATTTTCCCCAACTCAGGAAATGGTGCCACCATCCATCCAGATGCTCAAGTCAAAAACTAGGACTCAGCCTAAATGCTTCTCTTTCCCTGGTTCCCCACGTCCAGGCCACCAGCAAGTCCTGTCAACTCTACCTTTGGAACAGCCCATACGTCTACTCCCCTCCCCGTCTCCTCTACCATCTCACTGGTCCACAATGCCATCCTTCACCTGGACCCTATGAATGCCTCCTAACCAGTCTTTCTGTTTCCCCCTCACTGCTGCGGCATTATTCATTCCCAAGGGAGCCATCACGTGAGCTTTGAGAAATCACCTTTAAAACACCACGTAATACGCCTGCTTAAAAACTTCCAGCAGCTTGCCATCACACACCTAACATAAAAACTCCCTTCCCGGGCTTACAAAGTTTTATGTGATCTGGCCCTCCCTGCCTTTTCTGCATACCGCTCTCTGCAAAGTTCACTAAGCATGAGTCAGCTGCGATTGCAGCTGGAGCAAACACTCCAAAACCAGTCTGCCTGAGGACCTGGGGCCTGGAAGTTCTCCCCCTCGTGCTCCTTGCTGCTCTGATCTCAGTTTAGGGTTTACCTCTTCACAGATCATCACCTAATTGAGAGGATCCACTCAGTGATTATCTGTTACATTGTCCTATCTCAGTTCTCTGCATAGCACCTCTGAGTATATTTTTCTTCATTATTTATTTATTATGGTTATTGTCTCTCTCCCCTAAAACATAAGTCCCCAAAGTGAGAACTTTGTTTCTCCTGTTTAGTGTTGCATCCTTAGGGTGTAAAAAGTGCTTGGCACATAGGAGATGCTAAATAATATTTGTTATTTATTGAATAAATGAAAAAATAGAATAATATTAATAATCAAGACTGTAATGATAAAAACTTTCTGAAACTTTTTTTTTTTTTTTGTCTTTTTCGTGACCGGTAAGGGGATCACAACCCTTGGTGTGGTGTCACCTGCACCGTGCTCAGCCAGTGAGTGCACCGGCCATTCCTATATAGGATCCGAACCCACGGCGGGAGTGTCGCTGCGCTCCCAGTGCTGCACTCTCCCGAGTGCACCATGGGGCTGGCCCCTGAGACTTAAATAAAAGGAAATTTGACACTGAAAGTATTTCAACCTGCAAAATAAACAAGCCAAAATCTCAGCAAGACATAGCCAAGTAATTATGTAATTAATTTTTTTAGCTATTTATTTTCTGTATTCTGAACTCATACATAAATTCCATGAGCATGGAGACTGTATTTCCAGTGCTTTGCACAGAATCTAGCACATGGTAGATGTTCAATAAGTATTTCTTGAGTGAATTTCCCTCCAAGTCTAGACAATAAAATCTAATGAGTTTGATTTCAGATGATATGATTATAAAAGAGTGGGAACTTAATAACAAATATACTAGAATTTTATATATTCACATGGTTCTTAACCCTTTCAAAACAGTCACCCTGGAGACCTGTATACTTACTCCAGCATTGTTGACACTGTTCTAAAGAGGTGCTTCACAAATGTTTCATAAAAAGTCTCTGTGCCTTTTATCATATGAAGGTAAAAATAAAAACAAAACAACTACTATCATGCAGAGGGCTTTCACTGAAAATCAGATTTTGATATAATACATTGAATTTCAAATCATGAGATTTTCTGGTGTGTCTCAATATCTGTGCCCCTTTTGGTGGTTTTATTTAGACTCTTCTGTAGGAAGTCTTTCACATAAACCATATCCCTAAATAATTCCCATCGCAGAAGAGAAAGAATAATGCTTCTATTACCTCTAATTATCCTGTAACTCATAAGGCCCTTTGCTGGTTTCAGTGGACAGGCTTCCTCACTGGGACAGAAAAATAGGTAGCAGTTGGGTTGTCTTGTTGTTTTGCGCGTGTCGAAGATCATCAGGTTACATGCTTTATCCCCTGCAATGAAAGGTTTCATAAGAATGATTTTGAAACAGGATTTTCTGAAGAGTAAAGCAAGCTGGAAGAACCTCGTTTATTCCAGCGTCCAACACAAACACCTCTGTCCATTTTGTTCGCTTGCTTGCTGACTGCTGAATCATTTCCTTTTCCTTACTTTAGTCGCTTAAAGCAATTTAAAAAGACAAATGGGTTTAAAAATCTGAGTTATGATAATCTTTGGCAAAACCAGCTTTTAATAGTAAATTTAATTCTATAGAAACAAGCCTTCTATTTGCTAAAATATCCATCAAATACACGTAGAAATACTGACTTTGCAGTCTTTACGCAACTTATAGCTGAGCTGGGCCTTAAGAAATGGCTCTAAACCTAACTATGTCTCATCATGGCCTAGAGCTGGTTTTGTCCTTGGTCTGGTGCAGTCGCGTGTCTTGGCCCGTGACCCTTGAAGGATCAGCCTACCCTTGGTCAGGTTGAAGGTTAAGGGGCATATAGGCTAATTATTGAAAACACATGCTCTGCCAACCATCACCACCCCTTCTGCTCAGGCAGTGGTCAGGGATCAACCCCAGCTCCCTGGATGGGAAGGAAGACGTCGCCTCTGCAGGCATCTCATCATGCCATCTCTCCACTGCCTAGGACAGGTACTCCCACTTTTCCTTTTTCAACAATGTGATAGCTGCAAAGCTATTCTTTTTGGTACTTAGGTAAAGGGGAGGGTCCATAAGCCCCCCAAATTGTACGGAAAATTTTGTGTCCTTTGTCTTTATGTGCATTGTTCTAGAGACCACGGCTAACATCAAATTATCAAAGTGCCTTTTGAACCCGAAACAGTTAAAAACCATTCCTTGATAAATGAGGAAAACAATTTGAGACCCATTAACTGAGATCCACGGGTGCCTTTGCTTACAGTGGAGCAGTTGCAGTATACAGGGCTCCCCATGTTGCCAGAAATATCCACACTGACATCATCCAGTCCTGTTTGCAAGTGATGCTTCTGTTTCACATAAATGCCAACATTGAAAGAAAAACTAGAAATTTAAATTAAATGTCTGTAATTTCCATAAATTACTCCCATAAAAAACACGCTGCTCAATTTGAGACAATTAAAGGGATTTTTCCTCCTGACACCTAGTATGTGGTGTCTTTTCCACATCAGTTCTCCAATTCTCCAACAATAACCATACATCCTACAATTCAATTCAATTCTGACACTAACAACCCAGAGTTAGCATCAGACTCCATGGGTTTAACTGCTCAGTCCCTGATGGAGTTTGGATGTGTCGTCCCCTCCAAAACTCATGTGGAAATTTGATCCCCAATGTGGCAGTGTTGGAAACTGATTGAGTCATGGGGGCGGATCCCTCATGAATGGATTAATGCTCTCCCTGGGGGAGGGGGGATTAATGAGTGAGTTCTCCCTCTATTTGCTCCCGCGAGAGCTCGTTGCTTAAAAAGACCCTGGCACCTTCTCTCTCTCTCTTGCTTCCTGTCACCATGTGATCTGCCTGTACCCACCGGCTCCCTGCCACTTTCCGCCATAAGTAGAAGCAGCCTGAGGCCCACACCAGATGCAGCTGTCCCAGAATTGTGAGCCAAATAAACCTCTTTTCCTTATAAATTACCCAGTCTCAGGTAATTCTGTTATAGCAACACAAAACAGACTAAAACAGTCCCACAAAAGTGCCCTCACTTCAGAAGCCAGTAGCAAGTATCGGGTCTCCAGGTTACCCACACTTCTGTCCAACTTGACTACAAATTCAGGGGTTTCCCAAATCCCCCCCCCCCGCAGTTTTGATAATTTACTAGAATGACTCACAGAACTCAGGAAAATGCTGTACTTACTTATTACAGTTTATTATAAAGGGTATAAATAAACAGCCAGATGCAGAGGCATATAGGGTGATGTCTAGACCCTCTATCCCTGTAGAATTGGGGTGCACCACCCTCCTGGCACATGGATGTGTTCACCGACTTGGAAACTCCCCAAACTCCATCACTTAGAGGTTTCTAGGAAGGCTTCATTACATAGGCAGGACTGATTAAGTCATTGGCCACTGTGATTGAACTCAATCTCCAGCCTGTCTGTCCCCCAACCCCCAGGTGAGGGGGTGGGACTGAAAGTTCAAGCTTCTAATCAAGGCTTGATCTTCCTGGTGACTAGCTCCCATTCAGAAGCTATCTAGGGGCTTCTCAAGAGTAGCCCCATTAGTACAAACTCAGGTATGGCTGAAGAGGGCTCATTATGAATAACAAAAGATGTGCTCTTATCATTCAGGAAATTGCAAGGCTCTGTAACAGGAACTGGGGACAAAGACTAAAAATGTATATATATATTCTTTATTACACTACAACCATTACAGAAAAAAAAGGCAGTAAAGATCTAAGAGTAAACATCTGATTTAGTTGGCTAGTATGTCAAGTAAGAATCATTGGTCCAGTGTTCACTAGCTCTTCCTGGGCTCCTTGGTGGCAAGGACTTGTCCCTCTTATTGTTTTATCTCTAGCACCTAGCAAGGTGTTAGGTGCTCAATAAGTTTAATTTCTTTTATTTAGAGAATTAGGACAGGGTCATAAGCAAAACTGAAAAACGACCACTGTTTTACTTACATTTATAATTCTCTTCAGATTTAAAGCCTGAAATATGCAAAGGTATGGTCAAACCTAGGGGCCTCAGTTTCCTTCTATGTCATGTGTATGGGTCAGACTAAACAACTCCCCACCCCTCTAGAGTCCCGGAAGCTGCAGTTATCTAGTGGTCAGTGTAAACTTATTACAGTTATCTAGTGGTAAGTGTATACCCTTTATAATAAACTGTAATATTATAAATAATAGTTATTATATTATACAGTTTTATATTATTATAAATAATAATACAGTTATTATTATTAACTTCTTGACTTCTTGACTCAGCCTATATCACCATGAAGTGGAGGTTTTTTGCTTTCACTGAAAATCGAATACTGATTTTCCCAGGGGAGGAGCTAAAAATTTTATTTTTTGTCTCACCTCAATTTCTCTGTTTCCACGTTCTTTGTGATATCACACTGTATTCCAATACTGCATGATGATGGCAACTAAGCATTTAAATAGAATTTTTCTTTTCAAATATTCTAGATGTCTGTCAGGAAATAATATCAGTGGTTCTCAACCTTTTTTCTACCCAGGCACCTGAGGGATATATGCACACACTCATCAGTAACTTTGACCCAGCTTAGGGGCAAGGAGGGCACACTCGTAGAAAATTCCCCAGTGGACTTTGTGTCCCACATTTCTACACCATTGAGAATCACTGGTATAAATTATTCAGCCACATCCACCAGCTACTTAAGTCACAAAACACACGGAATGAAGGGTTGCCAAGGAACTATTATTTACCTGATATATTTCTTGTCGAACAGCAAGAATGAATGCAGTGCTCTTGAGTTAATGTATGTATGGGCTCATTGCCTCTGATTCCCTTAGAAAGAGATGACTGGATGTCAATGATAACATCTTCTAGACTCTTGGTGAGGCAATTCTGACTGCTGGACAGCCTTAGGGTCAGGAAAAAAATTATCATCAAAGTGTAAATCAAGCTCCTTTCTTCCCTGAAGAGCATTTTGAATTTTAGTTCTCTTGATCTTCAAAGATTAAGGATGACCCTCCCTCTGGTGTTACTTTCCTTTAAGAAGATTGCACAAATGATGGAATTTCTCTCTAGAATAAAAATAGAAAATCATCAATTAGTTATTTGTCTTAAAACAAACCAGGAAAGAAATGTTCTATTTCAAGTCAATGAAAACAGCCCATGTACAATTTAGAGAAGGACAGAAATCAGCAAGTATTTTTTGTTCATTTCAATTTTAGTATATTTGAGACAACCTTTCATTAAAAGCTTGGCAAAGAACTAATAAGCACAAACACTTATACCATCCCATCAATGCATAAAAGCTGACAGTGTCTATAAAGGAAAAGGTATAAACAGTTAGGCCTGCCTCTGAGTTCTAGAAACCCTCCTTTTCTTGGATCTCCTAACCAGGGGGAGAGAGGACAAAAATCTCTAGTCATTGATGAAGCAGTGATAATAGGTTTGGGCATCTATTTCCTTTCTCAGTAACAACAACTAGCATTTTTAAATCATCTGCCAGGTGGTAGGCATTGTGCTAAGCAATTTACATGTGTTACCCTCTTTAATCCTTGTATCACCCTTGCAAAAAAAGCTATTATTTTCCTCATTTTATAGATGAGAAAACTGAGGAAAGCTTTCTCATTGCTGCCTCTCCTTGTCAAACCAGAGGCAGATAACACTAATAATTTAATTGCAGGAATTAGTCAGCAGGGTGAATATTCTGGCTCAACTGAAGGAAAGTTTAGGAACAGGTGTTCTTTTTGATATCCATAAAAATACAAAAGTCACACTATGTATAACACCAACTCCATTGGTAAGCTGATTCTTTTAGGAAAAAATAAATGTTAAATTGGCAAGGCAATACCAGAAGCTATCCGTGCCCACCCACCCCCACATTTATTGAATGATAGCTTAGAACAGAATTACTGCTTCTTAACCTTTTTTTGGGTTAAGAATCCCTTTGGTAGTCTGAGGAAGCTTAGGATCTCTTCTGAGACATGTTTTAAATGCATAAAATAAAATTACAAAGAAAGCCAGTTATAGATCTAAATAAATGGAGAGATATTCCATGTTCAGGGATAGGAAGACTCAATATTGGGAAGATGTCAGTTCTTCCCAACTTGATCTATAGATTCAATACAGTCCTAATCAAAATCTCAGCAAGTAACCTGGTGGATATCTACAAACTGACTTTAAAGTTTACATGGAAATGCAAAAAGACCTAGAATAGCCAACACAATAATACTTAAGAAGAACAAAGTTGGAGGACTGACAGCACCTGACTTCAATATTCACTATAATCAAAGAAGTGTGGTACTGGCAAAAGAAAAGACAAGTAGATCAATGTAACAGAATAGTAAGCCCAGAAACAGACCCACACAAATCAAGTCTACTGATCCTTAACAAAGGAGCAAAGGCAATTCAATGGAGAAAAGATGTTTCCATAAACGGTGCTGAAACAACTGGACATCCACATGCGGGAAAAAAAAAAAAAACCTAAACACAGACCTTACTCCTTTCACAAAAATTAACTCAAAATGGATCACAGACCTAAATATAAAATGAAAAACTAGGGCCGGCCTGTGGCTCACTCGGGAGAGTGCGGTGCTGATAACACCAAGGCCACAGGTTCAGATCCTATATAGGGATGGCCGGTTAGCTAACTTGGGAGAGCGTGGTGCTGACGACACCAAGTCAAGGGTTAAGATCCCCTTACTGGTCATCTTTTAAATAAATAAATAAAATGAAAAACTATAAAATTCCTACAAGATAACATAGGAGAATATCTTTGTGTCTTTAGATTAGTCAAACACCAAAAGCATAATACACGAAAGAAAAAAATTGATAAACTGTACTTCATTAAAATTAAAAACTTCCGCTCTACAAAAGACACTGTTAAGAGAATGAAAAGATAAGCCACAGGCTTGGAAAAAATATCTGTAAAGCACATATCTGATAAAGGACTGGTATCTAAAATACACAAAGAATTCTTAGAATTCAACAATGAGAAAGCACAAGACTCAAAAATGGGCTAAAGATCTGAAAAAATCTTACCCAAGGAGATATACATATGACAAATAAGCATACGAAAAGGTGTTCGACATCATATGTCACTAAGGAATTGCAAATTCAAAGGATAAGAATTTGTCTCCTTAGGATGACAACGCGGAACCACTGCACACCTATCAGAATTGCTAAAATCCAAAAACATGACAATACCAAATGCTGACAAGGATATGGAGTAACAGGAACTCTCATTCATTGCCAGTGGGAATGCAAAATGGAAGGATGCACTTTGGAAGAGGTTTGGCAGTTCCTTTCAGAGCTAAATATGGTCTTACCATACAACTCAGCCATCGTCCTCCTACACGTTTACCCAAGTGAGTTGAAAACTTACGTCTACACAAAAACCTGCACATGTTTGTAATAGCTTCATTCATAATTGACAAAACTGGATGTAACCAAAATGTCCCTCAATAGGTGAATGGATAAACAAAATGAGATACATCCATACAATGGAATATTATTCAGCTATAAAAAGAAACGAATTATCAAACCACAAGAAGACAGAGAAACTCTAATTGCATACTGCTAAGTATAAGAAGCCCGTCTGGACAGGTATGATCCCATCTACACGACATTCAGAAAACCCAAACTACAGAGATAGTAAAAAGATCAGTGGTTACCAGGAGAAGAAGGGAAAAGGATGAAAAAGGGGATTTTTAGGGCAGTGAAACTGTCTGTATGATATGTAATGGTGGACACATGTCATTGTACATTTGTCAAAACCCACAGAACTGTGAAACACAGAGTGAACCCTTATGTGAACCATGGACTTTAGTTAGTAAAAAACAACAATAAAAAGTAAAGAAACAAAACCAAACCAGTATATGGTAATAGAGCAGAAGTCTAATACCTTCATTGCTGTTATGTCCAACTTCTGTATACAATAAAATAGTAAGTAACGTTTATTATTTCACGCATGTCGGTCTCTATGCTAAACACTTTACACATATCATGTCATTTAATACAAGAATCCTAATGAGACAGATCACATTATTATCCCCATTTTCAGTTAAAAGAAAAAATAAAAACAGTTGTGTGATATAATACGTGCTTCTTTAACAACCTATTAAGTAACAAGTGGTGTATCTAATAACTGCCATGATTTTGAAGAACTGTTGAGTGTAAATAATATTTTGAGGTATGTGCATGATATGAAAATATCTTTGATTTCTACTGGTGGCAAATTACAGCTACCACAGATAGCTGTGGCTTTTGCCTACATTCTTCTCGAAGAAAATGCTACATTTCAGTTCGAGGTTAGTGAAATAATAAAATTTTCCACCCAAGTTCACAGACTCCCTGAATTTTGTCCATGGACACCTTGGGTATCATGAACTCCCCAGGTTAGGAATCCTGACACAAGTTACTTATGCTGCCACATTTTGCAAGCCTCTTTTCTAGTCCCAGGGAAACAAAAAGAGAAAAACCAGGTCAATACTTTACTTTGAATGGATTCTGATATGGTCTCTGCTCGACCTCTTGCAAAGAAACCTGCACTATGCAAGGAGACGGGGAAGGAGCTGTTGCCAGGCTGCTGCGTCTCTACAGCGCCTGCACTGCAGGAGTCCTACTAGGTAAAGATACTCCACTCTTAGGTTTATTAACTCTTCTAATCCATGATGATTTGGGCCTTAAAAGTTCCAAGTCGAGCTGAATCCTGCTGAAAGATAAGGGAGAAAGGATACAGGTGGGAGGAAGAAGCACCGGAGCTTAACGCTGCTCACCAGAGTCGCTAAATCTTACTTGCAGTAACTACGATGCTATACTCAAACTCGCGTTTCAGATATTGGAAATCATTTTACTCACAGCATAATCTAATTTGTCAAGATGCTTACAGCCGTTCACACACAAACACACCCGACAGAGTATCAGATGACTAACAGGTTCAGTAATGAATACAGGAGACAAACCAGACAACAACAACAAAAAAAGAAAGAAAGAAAAATTTCCCTTCCTTTGAGGAAATGAATGCTGCTCACTGAACGATTTTCTGCCTCTCCTTAGGATGACAACGCGGAACCGGTGACGAACGTTTGTCCCTGCCTGGCGATCCCCTTTGGGACACCGCAGGGACCCGAGGGTGGCGGGGCCTGGGCCTCTGGAAAGCAGGGGAGCTGCTCTCTGCAGGCGGCGGGTCTGCGGGGCAGGGCGGAGACGCCTTTACCTGGCAGCGAGAGGACCGCGGGGTCCCTGTCGCCCCCCGGGTACGAGGACGGCTCCGTCACGCTGGCGACCAGGGCCGGCGGATCCGCGCCAGGGTCGCGGCGGGGACAGCGGGGGATGCTCTGCAGCTCCCGCACCGGCCGGCGGGTTGTGGTTAGCAAGTTCCTGCTTCCGTTGCAGCCACCGAAAGTTTGCCGGGGGG